CTTCCCTTCCCTTCCCTTCCCCTGTTTATATATGCATCCTGGAAACCTAGCCTGATTGAGGATGATTTTCCAGAGCTATTCTGCTGTTCATCAACATGTTAAACCTAATCTATTTAAGAAATCTCCAAGTGCCTGTGTTATCAGCCAAAGCAGAGAAGCAAATCCTATGCCCAAGTCCTTTAAAGGCTCTTTCTTTGAGGCAAAGTTTATCAAAGATGTCAAAGGACATATCAAAATTTGAATAGAGTTTAAATCTTGGGCTAGGACTTGCTCTTTGGCCTTCCAAGTTAGTGGCATGCCACTATTCATGTCTGTATGGCTACACTTTCTTCCCCAACAAACTAACACGGACTTGCTCAAAGTGTGTAGTGGAAAAAGTCCCTGCTCCATGGGATCCCACAGTTATGTTCAGGAATTGCCTGGGAAAGTGCTACTTGGATCAGGCTAAAACTGTGCCAGAAAAAAGGGCAATCAGTTAAATATACATAGGCAACTGTACATAATTTCTTAAGCCCATGACCTGGTCCTGGTTGGTAGTCAGCATCTGAGGCAGCCTCAAGTCACAGTCCCCAGCCGAGTTCCCAGACTGTTGGAGGGACAATGGTGCAGGCCTTCCCGAAAACTCCTTGTCTTTCCTACTCTGGGCACATTACATGGAATTATGATACGCAAAAGTCTGTTAAACTTTCCAAGTTGCTCTACTCTCTTACTACAAATACCGTCTAGCATTTTGAAACAAAACAAGAAATTCTCTCACTATTTTGCCATGAATGAACCCAGATGAGTCCTGAAAAGAAATCCTCCCTTAATATAAGCTTTAACTTAAGTTAAATTTTCAACATTCTTCTGATTTCTCAACAATACCTGTTGTCCCTATTCACTACAGAATAAATGTGAGCAAAAAAGATACTGTTTTTGTTAGCAAATTTTGCTATCCTAATTCACCCTCTGAGTAGTACTCCTGGCATCTTCTCTGATTTTCATCGTAATTTTTAAAGCTATGTGTAACTCTGTTCTTTGACATTTTTCCTCACTTAACAAGTATTTGTCCTATCTTTTCCTTACATTTTTGAACATCATCTTCTACTAATGTTTAAGACCCCCCATTATCCACTTTTACACTGCTGGTTTTATGTTATGCATAAATACTTCTAGCCTTTGTTTTGAGAAACTTCCTTTACTTATATTTACTCTTTGCCTAAAAGCACCTCAGAATGGGTGTTCCGCCTTCCCGAATCTGGGGAAACATCATGCCATGGGCAGTGCCAGGCACAGTATTGCTGGAGGCAATGGAGGACAGAACTGTCCTTTGTGTGCCATGGGATAGTCCTTGATTTATGTGGGAGCTAAACTTACACAGATTGCTTCTAAACGTAGCTTTTGTGCTTCTACACTACCCAGTAGTGTCCTCTGACAACACCTAGAGAACAGGGGCACTACTTTGTGTCCCACCTGGGCAGAGTCCTGTCAGCAGAAAAAGCAAATTGCTCTCACTTCCTTTTCTCTGGAGGCCCAGGGGGGAGGGAGGCAATCAGCATTTCTGAGAATCAAGTTGCTTGAATTTTAAAATCTGAATACCAACCTAGTTTCACATGCTATGACTTGAATGTTTGGTTTTACAATATATTTGTTTCTCTCCCAAGTCTTATGCTAACTAGATGTGCTGTAATAAATAATTTAGGATATTTTTCTGGGTTTCATTTTCTTTCTCCAGCATTGTACTGTCCAGATGAGGCAATGATTAAAAAAAAAAAAAAATTAAACCACTTAGGTCATCCATGTCTCTTGTGTCTCCAAGGTTTTTTTTTTCTTTTTTTAGTAAGAAGATTTAAGTTTCCTACTTTTTTATTGTAAAAAAAATGGGAGAAAAATATTATTGGAAAAAGTTTTAATTTCATATGTCTTTTTTGAACTATAATAAGTGGCATGCTGCTGATGATGATTAATTAAGGCTATCCAGTACCTGACACTCTGTTTTGTGTTTTATCTCCTCACAATGAGATTCAGCATTCTGGTTTTGCCTCTTCATTTACACTGAATTTTTAGTTTGGAAATATCTGATGTTTTAACAGCATTTTTGGTCTTTTCTTCCCATGTCCATTGTTTCAGTTTTATGCTTCTGAGGTAGAAATCCTTCAAGCTGTAATGAAGAATCCATATCCTTTTTCCATTCAATCAGTTTTGAGTTCTGATGGTCTCAGATATGCTAAAAGTTGTGCAGTTTTAGCAGTTCTACCAGCCAGCACGATTAGTAGATTATCCCTTGTTCTCACATATGTTAGTTTTACTCTAACCTTCCATTACTGAGAAATCAGGTTTCTGTTTTATTTTTACTCTCTTTATTCACTTTCAATGAAAATCAGTATCATATTATTGTCCTTTCTCATATTTAACAAGTGAACAATGAACAATATTTATCTCTCAGCAGAGTCAAAAGAATTTCAGTAGATTCTTACCTGTAATTCTGCTTTTCATTTCCTATGTGAAATCTGTCATACTGTGAATATGCCCGGTTTCCTTCCCAGTCCATTAATTCAATTCTTAGGGAATATTGCCTCTGACTTGTTATTGCAAAGATAAATTCATTTCCCAGCCAATGTTCACCTGATGGGCTACCAAAACCCTAGAAAAAAGTTGTCAAAATAACTAGATGTAATTATTGTAATTGGTAGAATCTTTATACAATAATAAAACCATCATTGTATTTTACCTATATATTCTAAGTACAGGTGATAGCTTTCTGTGCTCCAGTCTGACTGTCTCTAAAATGAGTCTACTAATACGTACCATGTAGGAGTGTCATGCAGTTCAACTGATATTTGAAAGGGCAGTTGAGGCTATCAGTTGAAAATCACTTTCCAATTACATGATATTAATAGTATGATGCTGTATTCGCACATCCTTCAATGGGAATGCTGGACATAGTTATATTCTATAATACATTTCATACAGTGTTAATCCTAGTTATCATTAAGACAATTAAGTCAAAACAGAATTCTGCTATACACTATAAAAAGTTAAAAAGAGTTTAAATTAGCCTAGATTATACACTGAATTCAAGTTAGCTGTGGATGGTAGCTCATGTTTTAATCTCTAAAGAAGAATGGACCATTCCTTTGCTGTTGAGTGTCTGCCACAACTGAAGGAGGGAAGTTTTTAGTTTAAAATCCTCTTCTGTATATAAGATCTGCTGGACAGGACAGTGTCTGTGAATGATCCTCAGCTGTAACATTTATTTACTTCATTCTTGGTCCACTACGGCTCATACTGGCTAAGATTTTGGCTACTACAAAATTATTTTTTTCTCACCCTGCTGAGGTGAAATAAGATATCTATATATGTTTTGATGCTTTGAAATCTTTAATTTAAGGAGTTAGTAGTATACCTATAGACCATCCAAAGCACAGGAGAGGGTACTGTAACTTTATTTTTTAAGAATGAAAAATAAACAACAGTAGAGTATTTAAGGTACCTAACTTTCCTCACATTTCATATATTCAGATGATCTTATTTCCAGTTAAGCAAACTATACAACTTTCAAACAAGGAAAAATAATAATAAAAGAAAAAGTATAACCAGTTTTCAAAATGTATTCCTAGAACTGTATTTTTGTGCATCTTCAGGTTTGAAAGTCATTTAAATTTTAGTGAATATTTTACTACATTAAATTTAAGGTTATATATTAAAATTATTTTTCTTTGTAAACTGTTAGTTCATACCTGGGAACTCTTAGCTCCATTTTTGTTCTCTTTAAACAATAAAAATTATTTTAAACCCTAGTCTTTACTTGTGAAGAACTCTTTCAACATGACTATGTTTATTCACATTTCTTAAGCTAGGAGAAATGGGAACTGGAAATCTCATGATTTTCTTGCAGTGATGTGCTGGGAGTGTTTTAGAAAACCCTTGTGAAAAATTCCTGATCAAATTAAATGAAAGATTGGATGATTTTCTTGCCTGTGATAAAAATTCACCCTCTGTTACTAAGCTGTGACTGCCAGATATAGAAAAGAAATAAACAATAAAACAATCTTGGGTTTGGAATAGATTAGACTGTATCCAATCTCAAATATTTTCCTTTGTCATTCATTATAGGAATTTACTTTCCCTATGCAGTCCCCATCACAGTATATAACAGACAACATTTGCTCTCAGTTTCAGATCATGAATTAAACCATGTGATCTGCCATTGATTGAGTCAGTGTAATTTTCAAGAATAAGTCTGACCATTTCCAGAAAGCACATAGTTTTTAAAGGGGGGTAAAATTAAGGGACTTCCTTGGGACTAGAATTTAGGTAATGGGAAATACGTCCTTGGGACACGTTGGCAAGGCATCGATCTTCTCTATATGACATGTCAGCAGCTCTTAATGTGAAATGGAAACACTGAAAGTACAGCCCTCTCTCTGTTTTGTTCTTTATTGCATTGCACTGGCTCCAGCCCTGACTACTTGGGTGTATTAAGGATGAAATCCTGCCTCCCCAGAGGCCATGCGGCAGCTGAGTGAATCTGCAGCACAGCTAATAATTCACTCAGGCAATGCATAGGTATACCACTTGCAAACTTCTAAAGAAACTAATTTAAAAAAATTTAGAAGCTTAGAAGTTTATGACTGGATCAAAAAGAATATAAAATGGAGGGATTTTTTTGTTGTTTCTATAGGGAATTACATTAGAAAGCACTCTACTCGGGAGTCATTTTTGTTTTAACTAGCCTACCTGAGCAGATATTTGGTGCTCAGTGATACTAGAAGCTGAGAAGACATGCCACATTTGGCTACACTGAGCTAAGTACACTAGTACATGTTTTGAAAAAGCATATCTGCCTTTTGGCTTGGAGACCACCAAGTGATACCCATGGACAAAGCGTTTAGTCTGTAAGAACTGAAATGCAGCAGTCTGCGGTATTAGAGAAGACTCAAACTGAAATATGGGAGGATACTGTTAGTTGGCTTTTCCTTTTCTGTGCATTATTTTATTATATCCTCTTTCTCAAGTAGAAGATTTCCTATGTAAGTCCCTGTAAATACTGGTTGTAGCTAATATTGGTGATATCTTGCTTTGACCACATCAGTCTTCCAATGTGAGCTCCTGCTCCTCAGGCTTTCCCATGATGATGCTTCTGTATCTCACCTACTGCTTTGATTGCATTCGCATGCCTATTTGGTTTCATACATACTTCCTAAAATACAAAAGCTTGTTCCTCACCTGCATAAACCCTGTCTACAGCTGACATACCCTCCTGTAGTTTTCACTGTTTTCTATCTGCTCCTTTGATCCTTCCCAACTCCTTGCCTTGTCTCTCTGCTCTATGACTGTCACACATGGTCCCTCCTATTCTAGCAGCTTTGGCTGTGTCATACCAGAGCAGTCAGTGCTGACATCCTCTTTCACCAGTGTTCATTGCCACTTGTCTCAGAGGAAGGGAAAATATGCTCTGGAGTGACTACCTAACAGGCAGTCTCCCTAAAATCCAGAAGGCAGAAGTGGGAGCATAGGTGTTTATATACCAGTCAAAGTACGTTTCTTTGCAGTCTACATGGTTTCTTATTCACAGAAGATATATTATTATTATTATCAGCTGTCTCCCTTTAAAAGAAGATTTTCAGGAAATCCTTTCTCCCTTTTTCCCAGTGCTGGCAAGCTGAGGGGACTCCCCTTTGAACTGTGCCTTTATTGAATTATATTTGTCTTATCTTATTTAGATTACAGCCTATTCAGGATGTAATACATGTGGCTTTTTTAACATTATGTGTTCCCATATGTGTTCTATATAAACTCCAGACACCATATATAATTATTCTGAAATAATAATAATTTTTCTTCTTCACATTTACACTTCCTTCTCCCTTTTCACATGTGTTATTACACTAAGATGAAAATCTTTCACTAAGTGGTTTGCTCTCCTGACCAGAGGAAACAAAGTTGCAGCAAAAGGGAACAGAAGGAATATAAAAAGGAATATAAAAATTACGAGGAAAGCCACCACATCAGTTATGAAAACCTGAATCCTATTATAAGGAGCTACAATACTGAAACTCTAATTAGAAATGCCTAGACTAAGAATGATTCTTTTTTTTTTTTTTCTTGTCAGGAGCAACTTCTTTTTAAACAAACTCCTTGCTCTTATGAAAAGAAAACCAGGGAAGTAAGTGGAATATACAACATATCTCTGAAGCAAGAAATGTTTTTAAGGAGAAGTAGTGTATTTTATTAAACACTTAATATGGCTGGGAAAAGAAATAAACAAACAAACAGGCACTGAAAAATTTCATAGATCTAAACCAGAGAGGAGCAGTAAATTTCTGTTAAGCACAGAGTTGGGAACAATTTCTTCAAGCATAATTTTATTATGCCAAACTCAACTGTTCCCAACCTGTATTTAGTCTGCAGTTTACTGCCTCTATGTCAGACCTGAAGAAAGACTTGCACGCTTGCTGTTTTTTCCAGATACTTTGGCTGACTTAATAACTACACAGCTTTCCTTGTTTATATCTTACTTAGACTGTCGCTGCTACAAGAACACTACTACTTTGACAAGATATGTAAGCTTTTGTGTGCAGAAGAGAATGACATATTATTAGCCAAAAATTGAAAAACATGATTTAAGTTTTTGTTTCTGTTCCCAATGCTGGGGCTGGCAAAGAAAATGATTGTGCCAGGTTCTTTTGATTTGCCTTCAAGATCTTTAGCCTTCAAAGTGCATTTCAGAATTTTATCTTCAAATACAAAATCTTTTCTTTTTCCTTCAGCCAGAAAACTTAAGGAAACAAGCTTGTGCAATTGTTATGCCCACCTGTCCTTTATTTTTGTGCAATACTTCTTGAACACTTTTGAGGTTGGGATAGAAACAACACAAACTTGAAGTTCAACACTGTTTCAGGAGAACTGGTGCCTGGGATGAGTTGCTGCTGGGAGAAATGCTGAAGCAGAAGCTCAGCGGTTACCTGTTCCAATTGCCTATCAGCAGGCACAGACCAGCCAGCCAAGCTGAGACTCTGAGCACGTATTGCTTCAGAGGACACTTAGACATCTGGGAGAGATTTGAGGGCCATAAAAGGGGAACTCAAGCTATTGCCACAGAGAATCTTAGAAAATAATAGGGATTCAGGAGAGTATTAGCAACAAGAATGAGACTTCTATGCGGGACGCAGGACAAAATCCACAGAAAAGCAGACCTCATTAATTTTGCTATTCATGAGACAATTCAGTAATTGTTCAGTAATGAAATCCAAGTATTTCAGCTAACAGAACATTTATGTGTATACCGCTGCTGAAATCTGTGGGGTCCCAAGTGATAAGATGCCTTCAACCTTGCCTTAGGCTGTGCTTCTCTTCTTCTGTGGACAAGGAGTTTGGTTTTGAGAATGCCTTAGGACATAGTGTTAAATCTTAAAATTTAACATTAGGAGTCACCTATTCCACACCCACAGCTGTCATTAGATATGTTTGTTTCCCTGTACATATATACTCTGTCAACATACTCATTGTTTTTTGTATTCATATTGCTATAGAAAATACTTCCAGAATTATTTGTGTAAAGTTTGTATTTAAACTCAAGGAAGTACATGAGGTGATCCAAGTCATCCTCAGCTATCAATCTACTAGGAAAAGGAACATTTG